GAACAGCGGCTGTACGAGTTTATCGTTCGCCACTTCCTGGCCTGCTGCTCCCAGGACGCTCAGGGGCAGGAGACCACTGTGGAGATCGACATCGCACAGGAGCGCTTTGTGGCCCACGGCCTCGTGATTCTGGCCCGAAACTACCTGGACGTGTACCCCTATGATCACTGGAGTGACAAGGTGAGGTAGGGAGGGCCCGGCTGAGGCTGGTGGCGCCCCCTGGAGTGTCATGCGGCAGCACCGCGAGCCTCTAAACCAAGGTGGTCTCTGCCAGGGTCTGACCGCCGCCTGCCTCTCCCTGTAGCTGCTCCCTGTTTATGAGCGAGGCTCCCGCTTTCAGCCCAGCGCTGTGGAGATGGTGGACGGCGAGACCAGCCCCCCCCAGCTGCTCACCGAGGCCGACCTCATCGCCCTCATGGAGAAGCACGGCATCGGTCAGTGGCCTCTGGGTGGCTCCCCTCGTGCCAACCACGTGCCAGGCGCGAACCCCCTCTGATCTCGGCACCCCTCCAACGTGGGTGCTGGTTGTCAACCGGTTTGTAGTTGAAGTGAGGCTCAGAGGGGCTGAGGACTTAGCTGAGGGCACAGAGTGTGTGTTACGAAACCTGGTCCGAGCACTTCTGCAGTGAGAGTAGCAGGGACGGTCACAACCCTTAAAACTTGGGGGATTCGTCATAAAAACCTGTACTTACATCTTTTGTCAGACCTGGCACCTCGGTGTACGTGGCAGCGGTCTCCTGTAGGCGTGCACCTGCGTGCTCACACTCACGTCACACTGCTCCACTCTCCTCCGTGTTCACGGTACCTCCCTGCTGTCAGCCATGCAGCCATCCTCCTGTGGCTGTATTCTTTGCTTTTTATCGAAGTATTTCCCATAATTGCTTAAATCAGAAATTAGGTTCTTTAGGCCCATCCCATGGCCTACTGGTAAGGGAGTTGGCTCCCATATGGCTGAACACGGTTCACATCCCAGCCCTGGATGCTTGCAAACACTCCAGCTGTGTGTGCGTGTGTGCAGAGTCCTAGCAGGGTAAGAGATGGAGGGGAAGGGACCTCGCCCCATCAGGTGTGCGTTTGCTCTAGGCAAGCACATGTGCTCTCCGGGCAATTAAAAAGAACAAAAGATAGAAATTATGTTCCATAAACAGGGCAAGAATAGTGTTTTCCTAGTAAGTTCTGTGGCTCAGACTTCGCAGGTAGGTCCTTGGGCCTGGTCTGCTGCTGCTGCCGCTGTTGTTAACGCAGCTCTCAGGAGCCATCTCTGGCAAAGCTGGCCTGGTAAAGCCAACAGTGTGTCTGGGCACAGCCACCTCACCTGCACGGGGAGTTTTGTGGTCCTGTGGCTCAGGAAAACCTGCTTCCCCCAGTAGCCCCTGATCATCACTGGGTATTTAGAAGGCACGCAGGTTTAAGTAAAATTAGAGCAGGTTCTCCCGTTGTGATTTATTTGTTAAAAACATAATGGGACCCACAAGAACTAAACCTTGGACCAGGACCGGCAACATGAAGAGGCTTCAGACCTAGTCTTCACCTCCAAGCACTCAGTCTAGCAGAACACAGCGGAACACAGCGATGACGGGCTCTGCAAAAAATGGGCGGGGGAAACATGGAGAGGCTGGCATTTGAGCTCAGTGAAGGCCAGCCCAGCCCAGGGCAGGGCCTCAGCAAGCACACAGAAACGGGAAGCACTTGCCCACTGTGACTGGACGGGCCACGGGGGCGGATGTCACAGGTCATAAAAGGTAAAGCCAGAAAGATGCTTCCAGCTAGCTTTGCAGGGGCTTGCTACCTCGTGTGCTGGACAAAGGGGGCTTGTACCTTGCTATGTGGCCAGCCAGGAGCCGTGTGAGATTTCTAAGTAAAAGAGCCCCCGAGAACTGCACTTTGAAAACTACTACTGGGGCTAGTGGGTGGTACAGCGGCTAAGGCACTGGACTCTCTAATGGCCAACCACAGTTTGAGTCCTGCACCCAGCAGCTTGAAACTCTCAACGGGCACATGTGCGTGCATGCCCCAAATCCCCAGCACAGATTGGGGTAGAACAGATTGTGGCATTGCCATCACCCCGGGGGATGACTTCTCGCTTTCTCCAGTGAGCACATATGCCCTATAACAAAAATCTCTTTTAAACTATTTTTAGGGAACAGCAGTTGGTGTAATGGCTATGTTGCTGGACTCCCATGGAGTCCACCGTGGTTCGAGTCCCGGACCTGGTAAATAAAACTATACCAGGTGCGTGTGCGTGCGTGCCCAAGATCCCGAGAGGAGAATGGAGGAGAAGGGATTGCAGAGTGGCCAAGCCCCCCTGGGGGGTGATTTCTCACTTTCTGTCTCTCTGTCTTTCTGGCAAGTGCATGCACCCTATAGCAAAAATCTCTCAAAAAAAGAAGAAAAACCTATTTTTTGTTTTAGAGTTTTGCTATAGGGCATGTGCACTTGCTGGGGAGAGATGGGGTGGAAGGGTGAGAAATCACTCCCTATGGGGGATGGCCACACTGCAATCCCTTCTTTTTTCTCCTGGGATTTTGGGCACACACATACACACACCCAGTGTGATTTTTCAAGCAGCTGGGTCTGAGATTTGAACTGCAGTCAGCCCTGTTGGGGGTCTAGCGCCTTAACCACCACACTAAATGCTGACCCCGACATCCAGCTCTCTTAACCGCTAGGCTATGGGGCTTGCCCCGCAAGGTGATGTACAGATGGAAAGTTTAAAGCTGGAGTTGACAGCTTTGTGATAATCAGATATGAGCGAGCCAAGTGGAGGTCGCCACAGTGACCTGTGGCGGGGACAGCTGTGGACAGAGGTGCGTTTCCGGCTTAGATCGTGCAGGCCGGGGAGGGTCCTGTGCTGTTGAGGACGCCCACCAGCTGCCAGTTGCAGCTGTCTGCTACCTCAGTAATCAAGGGTGGCTTCCAGGTACCGACGCCACTCACGCGGAGCACATTGAGACCATCAAAGCCCGGATGTACGTCGGGCTCACCCCGGACAAGCGCTTCCTCCCTGGGCACCTGGGCATGGGACTTGTGGAAGGTAGGGAGGAGGAGCTGCGGTGGGCAGTGGGGAGGCGTGTCCCCTGGCCCTGCGGGTGTTGGCGGGCCCCACGGAGCACCCTGTATCCCCGCAGGCTACGACTCCATGGGCTACGAGATGTCTAAGCCCGACCTCCGAGCCGAGCTGGAGGCTGACCTGAAGCTCATCTGCGAGGGCAAGAAGGACAAGCACGTGGTCCTGAGGCAGCAGGTGCAGAAGTACAAGCAGGTTTTCACTGAAGCGGTGGCAAAGGCCAAGAAGTGAGTCCTGCGGCCTGCTCTGGCCAAGGCCGCGTCATTCCCGAGGAGACGTGCGGCTCCACGGGCGTCGGCAGCACCAAGGTGCTCGGCCCCGTGCCCTTCGGCCAGGCCTGTCTTCACTAGCGGCCTCCTTGACGTGGGCTGGCTCCGGCTGGCTCGTTCCAGCAGGTTTTCACTGAAGCGGTGGCAAAGGCCAAGAAGTGAGTCCTGCGGCCTGCTCTGGCCAAGGCCGCGTCATTCCCGAGGAGACGTGCGGCTCCACGGGCGTCGGCAGCACCAAGGTGCTCGGCCCCGTGCCCTTCGGCCAGGCCTGTCTTCACTAGCGGCCTCCTTGACGTGGGCTGGCTCCGGCTGGCTCGTTCCCCTGTGGGTCAGCACAGCCCACTCCAGCCAGTGTGGGCTGTGGCCGTAAATACACCGTCCCCTTCGCTTCAGTTCCCTTGAACCTGGCAGCTCTGTTGAAATCAGCAAGCCCAAGTGCTGGTGTCTGACCCGTTGGCACTCCGGAGCGCTGAGACGTGCCTTCCAGCACGCGGCGTGTGTGCATTTTGTTAGAAAGAACGTGTTCTCCATGCAGTTTTGTGACTTACAGCAAGCTGCAGGTACAGACAGGTGCTGACTTCGGGTGGTCCAACTATGATTTCAGGGCATTTGGTGGAAACTGTTTGACAGGCTGGCCATGTGGGAGATGCTCCCTGGTGTCTGGCCTGGGCCAGCAGCCGGTAACCGCACACTCACGGCGGTGAGCACCGCAGCTGTGCTCCGCGCTGCGTGGGACTCAGTGAGTCGCGGGAGCTACTGGGCACTCGCTGGTAAAACAGGCTTTGTGACCCAGCGGGAGAAGTAGGCTGAGCATGTCGAGGTAGGCCCAGGAGGAGCTGCGATGTCCGACAGGGTGGGTGTATTGAATCCCTTTTCAGCTTACAGTATTTTCAACTCAGAATGATTTGATCCAGAACACCGTAAGCCAAGAAGCCTCTGAATTTGGGCTTCATTTCAGGAGTCTCCATGGTTATTTCTGAGTGCCTCGCTCTTAGAATCTATGTTGATAAGTATCTTTATCGTAAGTTCATGAGGTGACTGTGGCTGAGGGGGTGGGGGGCCCAGGTGGCTTAAGAAGGTGAGTGGTCATCGGAAAGACAAGGCAGGAGCAGACGGTTTGGGCCTCCAGCCCTGGCCCACCCTACCCCTACCTCAGGAGAAGGGCCAAAGTTGGTTCGATCCCTGGTGGGTGGTGAGCCTCCGTCGAGCCCAGCCGGCCAGGGTGTGGACTGTCTGGAGAGCAGAATGGGTGGAGGTCCCTGAAGGCAGGGCCTCTGGGAAGGCACGGGAGCCCCGCTCT